TCTTGATCCATGGATTATGGTTTTGGATCTTGACCATCTTTTATTTGTTGTGTTTGATAAAGATTGGATAAAAATAAAAGAATAAAAAATAAATAAAAATAAAATTTTAGTCCAGATGAAAACTCTAAGACAAGAAAGTTTGAATTCTGAAACTGTGATAATTTTTTTAAAAAAAATTGAGATAAATAGATGAATAAGATAGGGTTTTTTAAAAAAAGAAGGGGTTTTAATTCTTAAATCGTTAGTTAATCTTGAACTCAATCCCTATATAAACCCTCCAGTGATCACAATGAAAAAGGGGAAGGGACAGCAAAAACATAGTAGATAGATTGATAAAAAAGTTTTTCAAAAAGATTAGAGTAGTTTTTTTATAGAATTTTATTTTTGGAGAGGGATTTTTTTTGTGGTTTTAAGAATTTGATTAAAGCCTAAGTGGTGTTTTGGAGGATCCTAGGAAATAGAAAATAGATTTGGAGCCTTTTTTTTTTTTGGATTTTTTTTTTTTTTTTTTTTTTTTTTGAAAAATTTTAAAAATTCCAAAATCCGATGAGTTTTTCCCATTGTAGTTTAAATTTTTCGACAACTTTCACATCATTTTTTTAGTTTTTTACGATCATCTTTAAAAATTGGTAGCCATTTTTCAGTTCCCGACGACCAGCCCAAAAACCTATGAATTTTTTAGATGCATTTACAACTTGAATCCCAGATTCTAGTATTATTTTTGTAGAAACCAATTATTGGGAATCACCTAAAGAGAGAAAAAAAGGAAAAGATAAAGAGAAAGAGAGTTGGGGAAATCTGAGGAAAAAAAAAAAGAGAAATTTAACTTTTTATAAAGGTAGGAAAATAACGTCGTTTTGAGCTTTAACCTCCTAAAGATTCGCATGTTTTCATTTGGTCCGACCCAATTGGTTCCATTGACTTAAAAACCCATTCTTGTCATTGAACTAATGGAGCCACTAAGCTTGAACTGTGACCTAGCTAATTTTTTTTTTTTTTGCAGCCGTGCCACTTTCCATTAGCCAAGCCGAACTAAGGTTTTTATTCATATATTTATTTTTTTGCTTATTTATTTATTTATTGGTTAAATTGATATTATTTATTTATTTATTTAGTGAATAAATATTCTTTTAATTTCCAATGATTTTTTTAAAACATTAACAATAATAAAAATTCAAAAAAAGAGATTTCTTTTAGGAAAGGTTGAAGTATCAATTTTATTTGAAAATAAAAAATTCAAAAAATGGTTTTTTTAGGAAAAATTGAAAGTATTAATTTTCTTTGAAGATAAAAATTTCAAAAAATATTTTTTTAGGAAAAGTTGAAGTATAAATTTTCTTTAAAAATAAAATTTTCAAAAAAAAATTTTTTGAGAAAAAGTTGAAAGTATCAATTTGCCTAAAAAATGAATACTTAAAAAATAATGAAATCAAGGAAAAGATGAAGTATCAATTTTTCTTAAATTAAAAAATTTTTTAAAAAGATTTTAAAGAAAAGTTGAAAGTACCAATTTTCCTTAAATAAAAATCTTTCCAATTTAAAAAAAAAAGTATTTAAAGAAAAAGTTGAAAGTATTAATTTTTTTTCTTAAATAAAGGCATTAATTTTTTAAAATATAATAAAAAAAGATATCTAAGAAAAAATTGAAGTATCAATTTTTCCTTGAAATTTTTTTAATGTTAAATAATCCGACGACGGAATATCTATAAAAGAAACAGTAATTTTCTAATATACTCTTGAGGTGAGAGGATTTTTTTAATTTTTACCAAAAATATTGAAATCAATTAAGAATAATTTTCAGTAATTAACAATCTTATAAGTTTTTTAAAAGCTCAATAGATAATACGAAATCAAGCCGGTATCATCTTTTAATGGACGTTGTGAGGGTACTATAATCTTCTTCGCATATAACCACACTCCCGAACTTAGTTTTAGCTTCATAAATATTAAATCTATTTTTTAAAGATACTTGAGCTAAACTTAAAACTTCTCTTTAAAATGAAACAGATTAATTAAATGACCAATCATATTTAAATAAAAAAAATTAATAACGACTCTTTAAGTCAATGTCTAATTATAAGTCTATGGATCGATACATTATAACACTTCATCATTAAGCTTTTTTTTATATTTAAAATTGTTAAAATTTGTATTTTGATTACTGAAACTTAAAATCTAAAACTCTATCAATAAACCATATGATTGATCGCTAAGTTGACTCAATTAATTGTATCTTTAAGTTTTGTTTCTTAACCTATTTTTATAAGCATTGTTCTAATAATACTTTTCTAGTAATAAATTAATATGAATTATTATCCTAGAATAGATATCAATGATAAAGATTAAAAATTATATACAAAGCCTAGATTAAATTAATAATTCAATGTCATTTGAATTGTATTTTAAATTTTGTTTCTTAGCCTATCTTTTTAAGGACTTTTCTAATATTGCTAGTAATAAATTAATATGAATTATTATCCTAGAATAGATATCAATGATGAAGATTGAAACTTTTCTCCAACACATGTAGATAGACTCATAGAATTGTAATTTTTATTATTGGTATATTGATCAGAAAAAGTCTAATTAATTAAATTTGACACAAAAATATTTGACTTCTCTCTCTAATATGTTTGAATTTAAAGCGGTGCTATCCCCATCTATTAAATCTTAGATTTTTTGTGGTTTTATATTAAAGTTAAGGTTCTTTCATCAAAGCTATCTGATTTTAAGTTAGATATTTAATATAATATCAAAATTAAAATTTTGTTTTGTTATTCTAACTTATTACTTTTACCTGTTACCCTTTTTAAATTTATAGTAGCTTTTTGTTTTTATACATAGAATAAGAGTATAATAAAATAGTATTATCTTGCACCTATTAAATTTTTTATTTGCTATAATTTTATATTTAAATTGAATCTTTCCATCTAAAAGCAATTGGTTTTAACAAGTTGGATGCTAAAAAATAAAAAGCACTGATATTGATTTTAGAATAACAATGGAACCAGTGTATTAGCCTAGTTAATCGTTGTTACTTCTTATTAATAAGGTTGACATTTAAGAAGCGAATCATTTTTCTTCAATCTCTTAAAATTTCTCAAATGTATGAAAAAAATTATGAATAGAAAAATGCGTTCATTACTACGTATGAGAAAAGGCGGTGTTAAATTAATATTAATTATATTAGTTCTTTCTTGCACGGAAACAAATTTATTTACCAAAATGGGTAAGCTTTTGAAGTTTCTCATCCTAACCCCCTATTGTCATCAAGATATGAATCTTAAACATGTTAGTCATTGAAAGTTGGTGTTCCTTTATGAAAAATTCTTAAAATATTATCATGAAAGAGAAATATTTCAATTTCAAAAAACAGTTGAACTAGTTTAATTGGTTGGAGGTGTGGGGAGAATTTGATAACAATTTTAGTTGAGATAGGCTCTTATGGCTCATCTTTCAGGTACCAAGAAGTTAAGGGAAACATGCATTAAGTTATTGACACTAATTGTTTGATCAGAATAACTGTTAAAATTGAGGAGTTAATTAAATTAACGAAAAGTCTGTGCATATAATTAAAATAGGAGGTTGATAGTTTTTTTTTGTTTTAAATTGATTTTTCAGAACCATTCCTTAGCTAAAGAAAGGGCCATTTATTATTTTTTTGGGGTTACAAACTAAGGGCCATCTTTTATGAGATTACATTCACAAATGGAAATTGCGATTACATTTAAATAGTAACTTTCAATAAACTTTATTCCATAATCCATCTGTGAAATAATTAATAAGGAAAACCAATCAAACAAATAAATTAAATTAAATAAAAATCATATTCTTAATTTCCTGCAATAAATGATTAAGAATTCATTTTCATTTTTGAGTAAAGTTGAAGAACTAATTATTTGAATATTATCCCATAAACTAAATAAAATCAACATAAAATTAAATTAAACTCATATATATTAATTGAATTTAATTTTGTAAATTGAAAATTTGAAAGTGAGAAGACCAAAATAATGACATAATATGTAAATGATGTAAGTTTTAAAAATAAAAATATATTTTGCACTAAAATTATTCGGGTTTATATTAATTTTTAAAATTATTTTGTATTTTTTTTTTTTTACAAAAAAAGATTATAATCTAAATAAAAAAATTGTAAGTATTGATATTTAAATTTCAAATATAATAAATATTATCTTTTAAAAGTTATTATATGAATTAACTGGATTATGTCGCTTTTTTATATAATAGTTCTATAGACAAGGGGACAAGTGATATTTGAGAATGCAGCAAGTAAAGCAGTTAGTTAAAATGGGTTTTTTTTTTATTTTTTAGTTTACCGAAATGAGCAAAGCTTTGGGCATATCTCCTTGAAATGTTTTGAGTGGAGGAAACTCGAAGGAATTTTTCTTTTTGGGCTTTTGAGATATATGTTGAAAGACTAGGCTTGTCCTTGTTCCCTTTGAGAAGAAACAAAGAGAATATGAAAAGAAAAAGAGCGATGTTTTTTTTTTTTTTTTTCTTTAAGTTTGAACATTTGAAAGAAAAAGAACTTATGAAACGTTAGTTGGTTTGCCAAAATTTCAGTGGCTAACATGTTTCCATTCTGCCACTAGTGAAACGTTAATTAGTTTATCAAAATGCCACATCATTTCCTCGCCAAGTCATGCTCATTTGTCACCTGCATTCCTCCGATTGGCCAGTATTATTTTGGGCGTAAAAACATTCCAATTAAAGAAAGAATGGTATTAGCGTTAAATGCATGCTTTTGATATTAAATAAGTATACTCCAAATGAAAATGACAGGCAGCAGGGTCCTTGTAGAGATTTCTTTGGTAAACTATGGTCTAACCATAGGGCGCTCCATGTTTTATAAAACCTGGCACACTAGAAATTCAATTCACTCAGCCGAATAATTAAATTCTCCCTGGTAAATTTATTGTGATGCCCATTCCTCTGACCCCAATGATCAACATTCAAAAGAATCAAGCAAAGAAAGCTACTGGCACATGCTATCCTTTTTAATTTTGGTTCATTCAAGCTAAATTTCAAATGCTACTTGGAATTTAATTGGAGAATATACCTCTTCATTGTGTTTCCAAGATGTAGACTTGTTCACAATCCACCTCTAATACGACCACCAGATGTTTGGGAAAGATGCAATAATATGTCCGAGGAACACCCTAGCGTTACAAAAGTTTTGAGATTCCAACTAGAAAATCTTGGGTTAATTCTAAATAATCGATTAAATGAGAGAGGGTATCAACTCTCAGGAACAATTTAGAAGTTAAAATTTCCTTATGAGCCGTGATTAGTTAACTAATTTCTGAGCATCAATTATATTATTTTATATCAAAACATATCAAATATAAAATATTTATTCTAATTTATGTTTATTCCTGTCCAAACATAAAATACAGAATTTTATTTTTACCAATTAATATACATTTTAAATAAAATTTTAAATAATATCAATTTTCATGTCTTTTTATTTTTATATTATTTTGTCATATAGTTGTTTAAAATTATTAAATTTAATCCAGAAATTTTCAATTAAACCTAATTACATAAATTCTGGTCATACCTTCCACATATATTACGATTTTTTTCTCAAACTTTGCAATTCTGTTCTATTTTATTGAGCTGCTAGAATCAAAGCTATACAGTGAATACAAGTACATAAGCTAGAGAGAAGGATAAAAGAAAAAAGCCCGTATCGGAAAACACTGCAATTAGTTAGTTCTCAATATCTAGCATGACTAGAAACTTTACGGACCGAAGCTACTCTACAGTTAGCAAGTTATTTTTCATTAATCCCTCACCGACGGTAGGGTATTCTGGCGATAGCTGCCACTTCTCCATCCACCAAGAACTGATTTCGTACCTTCACAATGTCAAACTGAGAGTTAGAAAAAGATGTAACAGCAGTGCACAAAGTCCACAGAATTTTACCGTCCAGTCTGAGCGATAATGTGGTTGAGAACTTGGTGAGTGAACCAGTGTACTCTGGTGATAAGTGCTCTCCTTGAATCCATCCATCAAATGAGCCCATAACTTGTACACTCTACAAGCATTCCAAACAGAGATATTCTCAATAAATGGGCAAAAAATCAAAGATTTTAATTAAACATCATACGTTAAGGTATATGTCACCCAAGAATGCACAAGAAAAACATCATTTCTAGAAGAAGAATTATCAAGGAGGCATCATAAATACAGATAATAATCAATCAAGACTATGCAGCTGCAATATTTTCAAATATCATTCGATAAATATACCGATAAACCACCAAGGATAAAGTTATATCTAGTGTGATTTTATTTTTCCTTTTTCTTTTCTTCTAAGAGCATACCATGTGCATATTCCTGATGCTAGGTTTTACTTTTAATGCAGTGCTTCCATCAAACTTCCAACATATTCAAAGTGCGATGCACTTTATTACTTTCAACATCTGGTCATTTTTCACATTGACGTGTTTGACCTATTTAAGTATTAATGAATGCAATTTGTTAATTGGGGATACTGGACAAATTTAGTCCTGCAAAGTAAGAGTGAAAGGAGTAATTTAAATAAGACGTTCAAAAAAATAAATAAATAAAATCTAAATACAGCTCTAGCCTTCAGAATTCTGCATTAGATAACTACCATCAGGACTAGAACTTAAACAGATGAACTTTACAACCTAAAACACTTGTCATTGGACCAAACAATAGCTTCTCTGCATGATTAATTTAGGAAAAAGATCAACTTCTTTTATAGTAAAAAATTTTTGCTACTTAAGTATGAAAAAAAATTCATTTTAAGGTATCACAGAATCGAATCCATGATCCATAAACAATGTCCAGGCAGGAAGTGTACGAGGACACCTTGTTTCTAATGGTACTAGTAAAAAACCTTTCTTAGTGTATATATAGATTAAACAATCACTCATTAAACTAATTTGCATTTGACTCCACTGTTGATTGTTTCTGTTCTTTATTCTTTTAAACAGCTTTTTCAACACTAGCAAAGAGCAACCAACAAAATCAATGATCACTAACACATAAACTAAGGATACATGACATCCATTTTACTCTTAAGTAAATTCAGCAAGAGCATCAACCTTTGGATAATTAATCGTAAATATCAAATAATAATGCTAAATATTTCAACATGATGCATGAGATATCTACAACAGAAAAGGTTACTCTTCACAATACTATTGCTATCCACAGGGCAGCCTGCAACTCCAGCACCTATGCCTGGGCAAAAGAATTTTTGCTTGAGCTCAGCCTTCCAGATTATTAATTTATCATATAAATAATTTTGTGAAAAAGCTCAGGCCTATGTGAGGGCTGCTTGGCCACACGGTCATGGCATGAGCCCAAGACCACGGACTAAAAGATCATTTATCTTTTTGGTAAATATGAGGAAGCCTATGGAGGAAGAGGGGATCAAACCTTTAAAGTCAACCCTTTTGAAGGGAATAACAACCTTTTTTTCTTTTATGATTCTTTGCTTTCAAGTTATTTTTGGAAGATTAAGATTAAACTTATTTTAAAGCCTTGGAGTCTTCTTCTTTATGGTATGAGAGAAATATATCCCCCGTCAGAGAATCCAGGACACAAACTCTGAAACTGCACAAAGCCCTGCTCTAAGGGGTTGTGGTTCAAACACCAGGTTCAGACCTGTGGTTCCACTAGAAGTTATTCTCACTAGGTTTTGCATGCTATATAAGGTTATTTTATTTACATAACCAAGGGAGGCTCATTTTTTGCAATGATAATATGCAAGAAAGAGCTTTCCCTTTTATTCCCCAGTATCAGAACCCGGATACCAACCCCTTTGCTGTGTCTTGATCTCTCTTATTCCCTCCATTAGTTCCTGGCTCTTTTATACAGCTAAATCCTGGCTCAGGATTAATTTCCTTGCTTGTTTCTCTTAATCTTTTGATATCTTATTCTTTTCTAATAGCTTGCTGTTTTTGCGATAATACGACTGTGATAGAAACACCAAAAAGGACCACATTTCAACTTTATTATTTGTAAAGAAAAACCTTAGATATATGAAGGAACTTTCTTTTGAACTTACCTCTGCCATGCCACACCAAAACAAAGGAACCTCCCTGGACTGTGCAGTATCTACATCATTTATTTGTTCCTTCAATTTCTTGTGTACAGCTATTCACCAAAAAATAATAAAACTAGAATTCTTCAGAAAATATGAATAATTCAGTGTCTCACAAACTTAAAAAGTTTACCAGTTACTAGATACATGCACAAAAAGCCAATTCTGTAATTCAGTAATGATAGATTAAGTTTGCCAACGAATGCAGTGAAACCTGAACCTCAACAGTGCATCATTGCCAAATTTGTCAATTCGTTTCTTTTTTAGCTGGGGAATAAAACTTAAATTGAAAATTACCTTGTGCCCTGAACATTTAGGCATTTATCAAAACATCAAAAGTCAGATAAGACTGAAGAATTTTGTTGGTAAAAAATAAGTAGAGAACCATTACCTTCTAAGCGTGTATAAAGATGAGACTGAATGTATCTCCCATTAATTTTTCTAGAACCTTCAGGAATGCCAGCTTTAGATATTTCTTCTGCCAGTGAGACTAACGCCTGTAAATGAAAAACAATGTGCAAATATATTTACAGAAGCTTTAACTTCAAAGGGTTTTGGCCAAGAAATATACTTAGATGACTTCATCAGTTGGAACAATTCACTTATTAAATTGTTTCACACATCTAACAGAACAATCACAGACATAATGAATGAACAATATTGCATACATAAACACCAAAAATTTGATGGAACTATGGCAGAGCCCAGGGCAATTTGTTCTCAATATTACCGAAGGGGTGGTTATACAAAAATACAGCTCAATCTAAAGCATCACTACTCCATCAAAGGTAAAAGTTTTGCCTGAAGAGTTTTGTAAAAAGGACCAATGTTCGACGTTTGGCATGCTTGGGTTAGATGGAAAGTATCCAAAAAAAAAAATCACCTCACCAGCAGTGGGAACAATGGCTCTTCTACAGTCAAGAAACCCTCACCACAAATTTCTAGGAATAAAAGCATATACAGACCAGAAAAGTTATCAAGCTTGGGACAAAAAAGTTGTTCTTTTAGGATACTCTGATTGATCACTAGTTTCTCACACAAGGATGATGAAAAGTCTCAATTCTTTCAGTGGGTTTGCTTTAATCAATCCACAATATGAGAAAAAAGGAAAAGATTTCATATAGCAATATATATATATATATATATATGTATATATATGAATTATATTTATATAATTTATGTGTGTGTGGATGACAAAACAACAGTAAATGAAGTGAATAGTAACCTGAATTTCCAGTTCCATGACTGCAAGTCCACTTTTGAAGTTAACAAGTGCATCCTCCTTGATATGTAACTATAGACAACATAGACAAGGCAACTTGTGAGGTAAAGAGATTTCATTTTGGCTTTGTTTGCTAATGTGAGTAGTTTTACACTATTAAACATTGTCATTGTAAAAGCAATATCATGTAAATTATGAAATTTCTTGGCATATTCTTGTCGTTTGGAAAGAAAAAAACAGCATTGCAGAATATGACAAACTCTATATGTGAACTGCTTTGGGCATCACTTTGTCTTTCCCAAACTTTTTTCAGACCATTATTGCTGGACTCAATGCTTCCTATTTAAATTTAAATAAACAAAACTCTCTTCAAAGCCAGTAACATAAAAGTTTTGAAAATTAAAAGAAAAAGAAAAAAAATCTTCCTGTACAAACAAATAAAGTTGATCTGCATATTAACTCTACGTAAGGGCAGAGAGAACAAATAATATTATATGTAACATTATCAGTAAGGGTAATTTAGAATTTGAGAACAAGGGTATTTCAGAATTTGAGAACATGTAATTTCGTGCCCTAATTATAAGTATATATATGAAGGGTTACTAGTCATTTGTAATCATCCTTCATCATAGTAGAAAATCTGCAGCAGCAACAAGTGGATGTATCTCTCATGTTGAGAGTGAATCACTATAAATCTCTCATGTTTTTTGTGCACAATTTTTCTTCGTATTTGTTTTATTATCATTTTCTAAGAGTAGGATTAGAGCATTAATCCTAACAAGTGGACCATTTAAAGCATCTAAGCTAAGAGCTTTGTAATGTTTAGAAAAGGAAAAACAAGGTTCAATATAAACACATACAAACCTGTCGTTTAAGGAAACGGTTTTGCTAGTTAGCTTCACTTAGTTTTTTGGTGAGCTTTGTCCTCTCAGAGTCAACCAGTAGAGATTTCAACTGTTGTAGAATGGCATATGCATCAGCTTTAAACCTTTAATTGAAAAATAAATAGGATTACATCCAAATAATTTATGATAACGCCCAAACACTATTTGCTAGATGCTTATAAAATTTGCTTTTTTGCTTTGCCTTTTGTTTTCTATTCACTTTTTACTTTTTTTTTTCTTTTTGTTTTACATTTAATTTTTTGCAAAAAGCAAACAACAGAGAGCAAAAGCATCAAGCAAACTGAACTAACAAGACTCAGTAATCATTAAACTAGTGGGAATTGCTCATAAGTTTCATGCTATAATTATAAGCTAATGCTGCACATCCCAGCTATGAGAATAGTTGCTGGTCATGGGTCTAAATCAATCTTATCTTCAATCATGCATGATTAACAAAAGCCAGTCATGTAATTTGAAATAAGAAATTTCAGAAAAGCCAAAACATTTATACAACTCATGCTAACCCTCAAAATTCCCCATTTAAATTGTTATTCTATTTAAGAAAGATAAACAACCTTCGAGTTTAATTAACCTAGTTAAACTTTAAAGATGAAAGATCTTGCAACTAAAGACAATACCATATAATTATTAGAAATCTTTAAAACAGAACAAGTGATTTGTGATATCTTAGATACTCTACTTTTGGATACCCACATTGAGTACCTCAAAAGATTTCATAAATATCTTATTAAACTAAAACATCATCATAGGAACTTAATGAAAGTTAGATTAAAACTACACAGAACATGAAAGCCAGATTTTCCTCGCCTCTTGTGGACATTAATAGGGACTGCCGACAGCATTCCCCCTTATATACTTTGTGAAAATGGGATATTTGCTATATGCAAATTTCAATCAGTGTGAGTTCAACTCCTCAACATGCAAATTTAAGGCTTTCCTATTTTTGTCATACATTGGGCCATTTTCGGAATTTTTTTGAAACCATTTCGCTATTCACACCATACTTATGGAGAGATTTCCACCACGAGCCATAAAGCCTCCAAATGAACAACAACAGCAACTTCTATTTGTCCATCACAGTCCATTTTATTTCTCCCTCCCTTTTTGCTCAATTACTCAACCATCAAGAAAGCATGTTTTGAAATGGGTTCATTGTAAATTCAGAACAGACAAAAATAGTGCATTTTCAAATTTTTATAAAACATGACTTAGTTCATGAAAGTCTACCTCATCACTGCTTAGTGGTTTAGCAAGAAGCTGCTCTGGTGAATCTTTGGAAGCACGCTCATCTTCACTAAAAGGATCTTCAGACTGAAGAGATGAGGATTCCTCCAAACCAAAAGGCATGGAATGTGTATTCCAGACAATACGGATCATATGTTGCTTTCTATGAGAATCTAAATTCAAATAAGCCAACCTTTGATAACTTGTCCTTAATTTCCAGGCAGTCAAATTATATGGAAGTCTCTGGGAATTTTCCCTGTCTAATGCTCTTAGGCTCAATAGAAACCATGACACTTGCTTGTCAAGAAAACACCTGACAAAATCACAAAAAAAAAGACAAATATGATAATGAGAAGTGAGAATATGATAATGAGAAGTGAGCAATTGTAAAAATAAGGTGCAGAGGAATAAAGGAAAATGGAAAGTAGTGATAATATTGGTTAGTTCTACAGATTATTACATAACTTAAAAGGAAAAAGGAAAAAGCTTTGGGAGGTTAGAAATCAAGGACATTACTTTCAGATAAAACATTTATCATCACTACTAATATAATAATAATCAGGAAAGCCTACCTGGTAGTAGCAATCTCCATTCCAAAGAATTGCGCTGAAAGACAGTGACAAAAAAACAAAGCTTAGAAGTACAATTTATCACAGGGAGTGTCCTAAACCTTAACTGAAAGCAAGAATTATCGTCACAAGTAAAGCAGGCTTTTTTGCACTAATAACTCCCAAAATAAGGCACAAAAATAACTGAAGGTAAAGAATTATCGCCACAAGTAAAGCAGGCTTTTTTTGCACTAATTCCTCTCAGAATAAGGCACAAGAAATAAAAACTTGTGACATATTAACAGCTCCCAATGGCAGAACTACATTCATATTTGCCTCCCCTCTAAGTATAAGTATCCCATTTAGATAATATGAGATGCCGGAACAGAATGCTAATAACAGTACCATTTCTTTTTGTGGTGCAATAGACATGAACCAGTTGATTAGAGGATATAAAATAGATTAAGAATTCTTTTAGTAATGGTGAATATGTATCAAACATTTTCTAAAGGAAAAGTGGATTGAATCACAGACTCTTATGCTCAAAGTTCTCAGAGAATATTATATTGTTGCATTAAAACACTTCTAAAGGCACTAATGCTACTTGACCTTCTATTTATGTGCTTTTTTCTATCTTTTTTTTCCTCTCCCTTTTCAAGTATGTGGATAAACCAGAGCTATCCCTAAAAATGCCAAATCAAGGAACTAATGCAATCTCAATTTCAAATATAAATCAAAATTACCCTGCCAGAATCTCTAGTCATGTGTCTGTGAATGCTTGCATGCACTATATATGGAGGCTACTCATTAAACAAAAATGAAGTACAAGACCCAATTCTGATCAGTTGATCTTGTAACCTATCCTCTTGGATTAGAGTTTATTGTTATTGAGGTTTCCTTAAAAGGAATAGAACAAAAGACATTTTATTTCCTCTTCATTCTCAAAAATGGAGTCTTATCACACCCTAAGGCTCAGTAAAAAAGATGTATATCTCTAATCAAATCGGGGCAAATCCAAATGGACACGATACCCCCAAAGGGTAGAAAAAAAGAAAATATGAAGGAAAAATTTCCCTGGACACCTCAAAATTTTCTTTTGACACCCCCAAAGAGTGGAAAACAAGAAAATTTGAAGGAAAATTTTCCCTGGACACCTCAAAATTTTCCCTTGGACAACTTTCCATCGATATAATTGGTAAATCCGTTGGCCTTTTTATAAGTGAATACCCCCGGAAAAAAATCATGAATCCACCATTGAGTCGAATCCCCCTTCCCCGAAATAAAAAACAAAAGAATATTTTCCTCCTATACCTGAACATTCTACCATCACTTAGTTAAACATATAGAAGAAACCAAATTATACTCATACTCATTGTACGCCTACCAGTCATCCCTGGTCTACCTCTATGCTAATTGTTATATTGACTTAAAATTCAGTATCAGACACAACTATGTCAATTTTTAGCATTTTTTACATAAATCTTGGCATCTTACAGTATTTAAAGCATCAAACAAGTATCAGACACGAGTGAGCTAAGTTATAATCTTATCAACGGAGTCCTACCCATTACTCTAAATCTTTCATTTCCCTATTTTTCTTCAAAGAACATGGAAAAAACAGCTTTTTTAACAGTTTTAATCGTTCCAGATTGACATTTATTCAAACATGTTGAAAACAATTAATTAATTAATATCAAAATTAATGACTAAATATAAATTAATTAGAAGCACTTAGATAATTAGAATGTTAAGATTAGCAAAAATTAATAGAAAAAAAAGTGAGAACTTACAAAGTAGATCTTGGTGTGTACAATGGAAAATAGAGTTTGCCCTGAGAGTGGGAGGACTTTGTTTGTGGACTCGGATTTGTGAGTATTTTGTGGCTGTTACAAGTTCTAGGATCCGTCACTTGACATGTGGCATATAGAAGAAAATGGAGCACGTGTGAACCTGAATCTAGTCTTGGATTAAAAAAATGCAAATAGGTGGCCGACGTTACAAGCCCAATAATATCGATATTTGAGCAAAGAAGGCCCAATCTCTAAGAAAAATCGAAGACAAGGGGATAATTGGAACACATGAACACTGTTCGACCTTAAATACCACTTTTTTTTTCTTTTCATTTTAGTGTTTTGGAAAATACAATTTTTTGTTTCTCATAAAATTGCAATTTATCAAAGCATTTTTATCTCAAAATTTTCATTTGAAAATTTTAAATATGACAACGGGCCGCAATCCACTTTTCTTCAAAGAACATGAAAAAAAAAAAAAAAGCTTTTTTAAGCGTTTTCAATTCTTTCACATTAAAATTTATTCAAATACGTTGAAAATAAATAAATAATTAATTAATTAATATAGAACTCCATTTTCCATTTATTCGAACATTTATTCAAACTTGCAACAACACAAAATACTCATAAATTCAAGTCCACAAACAAATCCTCCCACTTTCAAAGGGAACTTCACTTTTCATTGTCCACACTAAGATCAATTTATTTTTAAGTTCTCATTTTTTTCTATTAATTTTTTGATAATCTTAGCATTTTAATTATCTAATTGCTTCTAATTAATTTATATTTAGTCATTAATTTAAATTTAACTAATTAATTAATTATTTTCAATATTTTCGTGTGGGAGGATTCAAACTGATAAAAAAAAGTTGTGCTTTTTCCTTTTTTTTAAAGAAAATAAGGAAGTGAAAGATTTAGAATAATGGGTAGGACTCCATTTAATAAAAGTATACCTTAACTTACTCTCGTCTGATTCTTATTTCATAAAGAAAGATAATAAAAAAAATACAATGATATAATTTAAAATTTTAATAAAAATTATATATAAATTTGATAAAAATTAAAAATATATTTCATATTTAATGTATCAAAACTAATTGTGACATGATAATTTTTATATTTTACATATATTTTTTACAAAATAAATATTATACAATTACATAATTATTAGATTTAGTTTTGTCCTACCTGTTATGACGATAAAGTATATGCTTGATTCTAATATTCCATTTGCTAATTAATTGATTATCCATAAATGGATGAATATTGACTTTAAATGTATTTATTCAATAATTATATCCTTATTTATAATTTCAAAATAAGTTTTAAAAATTAAATATTAATATAAAATTATATTTTAATATTTTAATAATAAAATATAATAAATAAATGAGTAAATCGAAACACATTGTGCTTTTAAGAATAATATTGAACAATTTTTAGGGATAATGGAACAATTTAAAATATTTTAATTTGTACATTTAAGTATAACCATATTTCATAAAATTTTTCATTAATATTTCTATTTAAGAATTCAAACCTGAAATCTTAAATTGAATTTTCATCGGTGAAGATTTATACTTTATCATGTCTCTTTTCATAACAAAAAGAGCCATACCAACCAAATCATACGAAAACAAAAGATTCGCCACAAAAAGTCGGGAGAATAATGCAGCTGATTTTGCTAGTTAGTGATATGAACTCTGAGAGATGAGATTCTTAAACATTATTTAGTAAATTATAGATTTGTGATTCAAAGTCTAAAGTTATAAAAATCTCTAATTTCTGTATTAAATAATTTTATTTTTTCAAACAATTTTAATTTTTTTGTTGAAGAAATTATTTAAGAAGTTGTATGCAATTTGGGAATTGAAGGAACCCCATAATTTTTTTTTTTTTTTGGAGGCTACGCATTGTTAGTACCAGAAGGTTGTGGTTCTAATAATAGAGGGATAAGAGTCCAATCTTTTATTTATTTATTTATATGTTTTTGGATATAATTCAACTGAGCCCAATAGAGTCAAGAATTAAAATTTTTATTCACTGACAAAAATGAATAAGCTTTTATATTTATATATATGTGTTTATGTCTGTATATAAATAAATTTTTTTAAAATATAAAATTAATCATGCAAAACAAAAAAAAAATTTGATTAATAGATAAAAAATAATAAAGAGGAATTAAACCCTAAATCTAAACTCACTTGAATTAATTTCCTTTCACACAAAACCAACATTAGGTTCTTGGGTTGTTGGGATTAAGATTTGGGGTTTTGCAAAGTACAATTTGGGCAAAAAAAAAAAATGCAGAGTAATTGCTGTTGCATTGCTACTTGCTAGCCGTCTTAAATCTATCAAACTTTTTTCAAACTCATTCAAGAAAAAATGACATCTATATAAATAATTGGTTATATGATACATGTTCCAATAATGTCCCTTTTAATCCACATCTTTAGATCTTTAGATTTGATATGCTTCATGAGAAAGTGATCTCTCCAATAATGTATATTATATATAGAAATTTGAGGATTATTTTCTGATGGATATATGTAGGGTTGATTTGTTAAAAATCTTGAGCAAACTAGTAAAAGCCGAAAGCTATAATTAAAGTGAACAAAATTATTTTATTAAAAAAATTATAAATACAAATAATCAGAAAACAAATTTACTTGTGCTTAAAAGGAGATTATCTTTTGCGTCAACAATTAAAGGGTCACACTTTTTCTAGAAGCATCATTTTAATTTTTGTTTAGAGAGAGTTTCAAAGCTTGATGAATCAGTGGGTTTCCTGTCGAATACCGTTTGATCACCGAATCTCTGGTGTGGATAAATAATTACAAAACTTATCCTTTTTTTTTTCTTTTTTCTTTAATTTTTGTTTGAAAGCGTCATTTTTTTTTTAACAATTAAAAGCATTACTTTGACTTGCAAATTGATAAGTAATCTGACAATTAAAATTTTAAAATATATGGTTAAATAAAATAAGATTTATATTTAATACATGTAAGGATATTGATGCTATATATTATAATGCATCACAAATCGCCACTTCATTAATTTGTTTTAATATAATAAAATATTTAAATTTTAAGAAAATTGATTCTTGAGGATTCTAAAATTTTAAATTTATTAATAAATAATGTAACAATTTGTAAAACCAAATGTGTATAATATATATAAAATGATAGTGTATAAAATATAAACAAATAAAATATCACATGTGACAAGAAATATAAAAACTTTTGTGAACAATATTGACAAATTATTAGTGTTTCAATTCCTAAATCCAAATTTCTTATGTCCATGATACCTTTGTTTCTTGCTAATTTCATCAATTTATTTTTTATTGGAATTGCAAATTCATAAAGCAATCAAATATTTAGTGGAGTTTAGTGGGGCATAATTATTTACCAAAAAAGTATGATTCGAATTTTCTTTTCTAATAAAAAAGATATTATTTTTGTTTTTTTTAGTTATTGAGTTAATGTCATGCATAACTCGTAAATTATAGTAAAATTTTAATGCGATACTCAAATTTTAAAACTTTTTAATATAATATCTAAATTATATATGAATTTGTTAATTAAAATTATATTTATTTTTAATATAATTATTTCAAATGATAATGTGTGATAAATAAATAATTTTTTAATTATCATATTAGTTAATAAATTTATAATTTAAGCATCACATAAAAATTTTTAAAATTTAAATATTATATTAAATATTTTATTATAATTTAAGGATCATTCATAATATTAATCTTTATTTATTCTTTATGGTTAAGAAATTGAAAACTACATATCCTAAAAAGATTTTTTTTTTTTTAAAGAAAAAGGAAGATTGATGTATAAACTAAATCATACGAAGCTTGTGAAACTCAATTTCATACGTGTAGGACAAAATGGATGAACAGAAATAAAGTAGTCTTAAGGAGATAATCATGTCATTTTTATGACTAAACGAAATAGGCGTTCATCTTAATCAATTTGTCAATTTTATCAACTTAATTAAATAGGAATTAGCTTTGATTTTAACTTAATTAAATTGGAATTAGCTTTGATTTCTTGTTCCTCTTTATTTTAGTTTCGGTTTTAAGTCATCAAAGAAATATTCTTCCCAATTTGGTTTCATGGTTTCATTGAAAAAAAAAAAGTTTGCATATATAATACTAAAAGAAAGCCTACTTGAAAATTCCAAGTGGGAAAGGCAAGGTATAGTTAGTCAAAGCAGCGACCCTAGGTAGCTTCTAATAAAAATACTTTTATTTTGTTTCGTAGAGCAGTGTATATATGATTTTGGAGCTATTATCTCTAATAAGTTTTGGACTATATTTTTTTAATTAGATATATTTGTCAATAATTTATGATGTGTTAATAAAAAATTAAATTCTCAATTTCGATAATTAAGATCAATAAAGTCAATTACAAAAAAGAAAAAGCAAGGCATATTAATTTATTATGAGTTTATTAAAAATTAATGGAGATGATGTCAACTATTAGCTAACTTCACCTTAATTACTTCACTAAGCATTCAACATATTTTGGGAATTAATTAATTATATATGACATGACATGTCTCTTCGTCTCAACCAATTTTTATATTATGATGATAAGATGATCTTGACCTAAACTTTGTTTACAGTCAATTTTTACTCAATTATTTGCAAACATACCTGTATTTGACTCTTACCTCCATTCCCGAACAACATAATTGCTGATCCCATTTTTTGGTCCAAGGAATTATGAACCGGACACTAGAGAGGGATTTCCAGGAAACTAGATACTGCAACTTGACCAATAAATTTAGGCAGCAGCATTCTAGATTTCTAGAATTTGGGGTCTGGCCTTTGTCTTTTTCAAACCCAAACGCTGTTGTCCACATTTAAAACTCCCTTTTGAAGCCAATTAAAAGGATCCCAATGCCGAAAATGCAAGGAAATCGATGGGCGTCGGACTCAATTTCCACCATTTCTCTAGATTACAAATATTGCCAATGCGTTGAAATTGCCTCAGGTGGAGATGTCGTTTTCAATACTGTTCATATACTTTGTTGCATTGATATAACATTCACGTTGCTTACGAGTAATGCTATCTACTTCAAGTTTTAAGACCGAGTGCAGTCCGATTACTCGCAATGACATCGACAGTAAAATTAATTATAAAAAGAAGAATTGTTTTTTTTTTTACATAAACGGTCATATCTCATAACTGAAAAAAAGAATTAATTACAAATATTAAATTTTAAATTTTAAACCTAATCCCGCAAATAAAACTTAAACATATCCTTAAAGTTTATATAAGGTTTAATTCAGTATCGAACCAATAGCTTAGTCCACTTTGAGTGGACTCATGATAGTGATAGTCGTATTAAATGATTACCTTGGTGAGTACACACTTGATGTTTGCCAAGTAAAGCAATCGACTGCTTCAAATCGTGGTTCTCTCTTATCCAATTGAGTTTCTAAATTTTATAAATAAATTTGTATAATTGAAAAATATTCATTTTGTGATTATATATCTTGTTTCGATATTTATATACTCGAATGAATAAATGACCCTTTATAATTTGTTCGTAAGTGAAATTTAAAAATTTTATTAATATAAATATATATTGGTTATTTGTAAAAGAAGAGAAAAAGAATTCGAGGAAGATGAATATTTTTAATATTATTATTTTTTGTATAAATGTATATGGAAAATTTTATAATATTAATTTATTTGTTTTTATCAAAGCTAAAGTTTGGAATCAGTTGATTTTTGAATCTAATACGTTTTTAGTCAAAAAAATAACTAGCATAAACTTAAGATCAAATGAAGGAAATTTATACTAATTTTCATTTGACCTCAACTTATTGACATTTTCGGCAATGGAAAGAAAACTTAACATCAAATGGGCTATGCTACTCTATCTACTTAGTGAAGCGTAAATGCCTATCTTTTTATCTATTTAAGACTGCTAAGGAACTTTATTATTAAAATTAATAGTCTAGCATTTTACTAAAATATCACATAGTTGGTGGCAAAAATATTTTTTTTTTCATAATTTTTAATATTTTTTAAAAAGTTTAAAGTTTCAAACAAATAAAACTTGATGACAGCTGGCTCCAGGTTGCCTTCGTCAAAGTTTGAGACTTACTCAAAAATTTAAAAAGAAAGTCAGCCTTTCCATAAAACTTTATTGTAAACAAACACTTCATTTAATTATTTTTTAACATAAAAATGACATAAATGAAATTTTACCTGGGCTTCGTATCTATCTACTCCACAAATCTATTTTATATACCATCATCAATTATATTATAATTCGTCTTTAATTTATAAATATAATTTTTAGTTCTATTATAACAGATGGTAGTAGATTTGGTCGTCCATTAATTTGGATTGAGTCACTTTATATCTGATTATATCAGGTTAAAGATAATTTTGATATATTCTGATTTGAATAATTTTTAGACCATTTCAGGTTTAAATTTTTTTGATAATTTGGGTTTGAATGATATTTTATTTGAATTATTTTAAATTTGATACTTGAATTAATTAAATTAAATTAAATTAAATTAGAATTATCCGATTTAAGTCATTTTAAATTCATTTGTATGGATTATTAAATTAAATAAATTTTAAGTAATTCGATTTTTTATTGTACAAATTCAAGTTATTGAATTTTTCTAGACAAATGAATTATATGGTATTTGAGTTTAGACAAATTTTTTGAATTCCAATTAGCTTCACTGACTTTAAATAGTAAGAGTTTTTTTTTTTACCTCTCATAAATTTTTTCTTTTATAAAAAATGTAACTAAACTGAGTTAACTCTTGAAAGATCTCTTATCATTAAAATGGAAAGTAATTTTTATATTGAAAAACTACTTTTGACCCAATTTAATATTAAACAAAAAATATAATTTTTCAATTTAAAAAATTAGTTTGTAAATTTAAATAAAAAAATTAAACCTAAAAAAAATTTAATAAGAAAGTACTTTTGTCACGAGCCGAGACTTAAGTTCAGACTCATGTAGCTTTGGGATTCGGACATCCACTCATCCGATGTACCAAATTAGTCTTTCTGTCACGATTCACACCCTTATGAGGTATTATCCGTTCTGGTCCCTTGACCTCACGGTTTTGTCCTACAAAAGGAGTTTCACAAGGGAGAGATGATGTGAACCCTTATATAACTCAGTGGCTTTTTTTTTTTTTTATATTCGATGTGAGATTCATAACTCCTCTTTAAGTCTATGATATTTTTCTCCACCCAACCTCGTGACGCCTTCGACACGGAGGCTGACCACCCTGCCTACCTTTCTCGAGGCACTTGGTATGGATCGAACGATTTAGGGCGGGCTCTGATATCATTTGTCACAAGCCGAGACTTAAGCTCAAACTTGTGCGGCTTTAGGACTTGAACATCCACCCATCCGACATCCCAAATTAGTCTTTCTGCCACGGTTTACACCCTTATGAAGTATTATCTACTCTGACCTCCTGAACTCACGGTTTTATCCTACAAAAGACACCTCACAATGGAGAGATGGGGTAAACCCTTATATAGCCTAGTGACATTCTTTTTTTTTTTTATATTCGATGTAAGATTCAGGACTCTTCTTTAGATCCGTGACATTTTGACATTCAATTGTAATTTTTATGATAAAATTACTTTATTTTCTTCATATATATTTCTAAATTTGTATAATTTTATGTATATTTTTTAGATATTTTAATTTACAATAATATATTTTTATAGTGATAGCTAATATTTAAAACTCCTAAACTACAAATTTCTCATTACACTTATAAACATACTTTTTTTAATGCAAAATTTTTTTAACTACAACAATAATATTAAACTAAATCTAAATACTTTTCATTTTCATTTGAGTTGACTTAGGCTACCCTTAGATGCAATTGCATCTCTAGTGAAGCTGTGATGGCCATTTAAATGTGTGTCAAATGGTCTGAGCATCATTAAGATGCGATGCAAATTGTGCTGGTTGGTCACTAAGCATTTTTCGTTCAATGACCTACTTATATCCTTATAATTTATTTTTTTTATTTCTTTTCTTTTTCTTTCGATTTTTATTAAAAAAAATTATTTTGTTGATTTTATAGAATAAAAATTCTTATTTGATATATTGTTATTTTTATTAATTTTAATAATTTATTAATAAAATTATAATTTAATATTAAAATAATTCAATAATTTTTTAATTTTTTATTATTTTTATAAATTTTAAATAATTTAAAATTTTTTATTATATAAAATTTTAATCAAATACCTTTAATAATATTTTTTTCTTACTACAATTCATTTCATCATCATTATTATTTTTAAATCTAAATATATCATATCACTAATTTTTATTTAACTATTATAATAATTAATTTTATACCTAGAATTATTTTTAATCTCATCAAAACCATCCATATCAGCCATCCGAATTACGCCTTTACTCTAAGCCTATCATATTTTTAACAGGCTATCAAATTTCAAATTAGCCTCCCATATTTTTGCTATGCTATCACTTTCCAAAACTCGAAAAGCTCACAGTCAGTTAAGAACGCGCCACGTTTCCATCCCACCGGGTTAACATTGATGTTCTAAATAAACTCCTAATACGTATTTTATCATAGATTCATGTTACCAAACGATCCGACCTAACCAAGTTACCCGATTTTTAGTCTTTTTAATTCGATCCCATAGTGAAACAATGCCCCTTTTTTCCCTTGTATTTAATTAATCCCACGTATAAGATTGAAAACCTTCTAGAATTAACGCGTCATATAATTAAACCAAAGATTGATTTCTCAGCCCTTTCAATAGGTGTTGCCAGAATATATATTTTATTTTTTAGTATTAATTTAATCTGACGCGGCCTTCTTTTTTTTCAAGCTTTTGGCTTTGGTTCTGACATAAATACCAATCTTTGAGTTTGGCCTTTCAATCAGAAATTGGCAGCCACAGGCAGGTCCCCTCCCCCCACCCACTTCACGGGTTTACAAAACCCATAACAAAAAAGAGAGTTAAAGCCAAAGCTTTTTCCGGGAATTAAGGATTGTGATCAGAGATGGAGAACTTGATGGGATTGTTGAGAATTCATGTGCAAAGAGGGGTGAATCTTGCTGTGAGAGATGTTGTAAGCAGTGATCCTTATATTATTGTCAGGATGGGAAGACAGGTAATTTAGGAGTAAAACTTTTGCTTTATGAGTATCATTCGTTTGAGGGTTTTTTATTTTGGAGCATTTCAGGTTCTGGGTTCTTTCGGTTTTTGATAGATTTGGTCAGTTTTGGTGGTTTTTTTTTTTTTTTTTTGAGAGTTTCAGTTTAGTCAGCTGTCAACCCCAACCTTTTCAAAAACATTAAATAGATTTCTTGCTTCTGTTTTTGGTTTCAACTGTTTTCTGTCCATCTTTCTTAAATTCCTTTTCTTCAAATCATTAACTTCTTTTAAAATATTGAATCTGTGCAGAAATTAAAGACTCGTGTCATAAAGAAGAATCTCAATCCAGAGTGGAATGAGGATTTAACTCTTACAGTTGCGGACCCTAATCTTCCAGTTAAGCTTGTAAGTGTTCTACAGAATTTGATTATTAGACCTGAATTAAATCTTGTATTATTATTCATTTCAATTGAAGATTTAATTAAATCTCCAACCTGCTGAAAGATGATCAAAATTTTGTAATTGAAACATAGGGTCATAGACCTTTTGAAAACCAACTTCGACTGATATGAATTATTCTGTGGAATGCAATCGCAGGAGGTATATGACAGAGATAGATTCAGTTTTGATGATAAAATGGGGGATGCAGAATTTGATATTCGTCCATTTATAGAAGCTGTAAAGATGCCGTTGGAAGGTCTTCCCAGTGGAACTATAATCAGGAAAATTCAGCCAAGCAGGCAAAACTGTCTATCAGATGAGAGTTGCATAATTTGGAGCAATGGCAGAGTTGTTCAAGACATGTTCTTGAGGCTCAGAAATGTGGAGTGTGGTGAAATTGAGCTTCAATTGCAATGGATTGATATCCCTGGTTCCAGAGGACTTTAATTAGTTAATTACTTGATTAATTTCAGCTTTTGTTGTTTTTGGTTTTTTTTTTTCCTAGTGCTAATAATTAAACATATAGTGTGCATGTTAGATTTTGAGGGGGTCATTACCTGCCACCTTAGTAGAATTTCTTCTTTGTTCATATATGCCAGAAACAGGATGTATTAATTAATAATTATGTAGTTGAATTTGAGCGCTGGTTCACTCATATACTCAAAAGTAACATCTAACAAATTTAAAATTCAAATGTTAACAATCACTATATTTTTTCATAACTTTAGTTTGCGGTCTCTTCCTTAGGAAATTATGTAGCCGAATTTATTGTCTTATACTGAATGCTGTAATGATGGGCATCTATAATTAGAGTTAATAATTTTAAATACAACATAAAAATATATTAAAAAAAAATATGAATGCCAACAAAAATCATATGTAATTTGATAAAAATTAAAGAAAAATATTTCCCGTTTATGGTGAAATAAGTTATGATATAATTATTTTTATGTTTCGTTCGTGTTTGACATAAATCAAACACAATATAATACTAAAATTGTCATATCTATCTATTATTATCTATTAATTTGTTAAAGGCTAATGATCATTATGGAAATTATTAAACAAAAAATTTCAAAAAAACCTTAGATTTATCGATTCTTGTTCTTGTAATTAGTAGTTGTTAGGCGATTGATAATCCGTTTGATTGATTAATGAAATAATTAAGGTATGAATCAAACAAAAATAAATGAAAACACTACTCTTAACGAGGTGGGACAACTTCGAATTGAATATTGAGCAGTTCAACTGCATTATGGCTACGTTAAGTGGGCTTTTTGTTCGATGGTTTTTAGAATTTATTGGGCTAGAATTTTCAGGCTAGTATTAACCTATTGGACCAGAAAATTGGATTTTGTTTTCTGCAAGTTCAAAATGTGAAATTGATGCGCCCGTGTACGTGCATGATAATACGATTCTTCATGCTTATTATCTATATTTTTAGCTAAAATCAATAAAATTAAAATTATACGTGTATTGGCTTAAAAAATTATACGTGTATAATCAATTTTCTACTTTTGTTCCCAGTTGTTTCTATATCTTAATTGGAATGAGATCCCTCGCTACGGCCAGGAATTATTTTTCATAAAATATTTTTATTATTTGTAATATATTTAAAATTATTTATGATTAATTAATAATGTGTTTATATACTTTAAACTTTTTTAATTGTTTGACATTATAATACATAATTTTATAATGTTTAATATATTTATGATTATTTTAATAAAAAATTAATTGATAAATTTTTAATTATCTGCAAATATAATAAATTTACAATTATTTATTTTTATTATGTTGAGATTATATAAAAATGAAATATTGAACCAATGTAACGTTTAAAATAAATTCCAAACATAATCATTATACCTCGTTAAATACTGGATTAAATAAATCCAAATATGATGGACTACAAAAGCTATTAGACCTTATCCAAATGGATTGGGTCGAGTTACCAAAATGTGGGTCTATCCTCTTTCTCTTTTTTTTGTTTCTTCCTTTACCAAAATGCTCCATTTGGTGAATAACATAAAAACCTAAGTTTTTTTTCACTTTATTTTCTACTCTTTTAAGGGGTGACGAAAAAAAATCAAGAAATTCAAAAATCGATTTAAAATCATAGTATTCAATTCGATTCAGGTCGATTTTTTTTATTCGATTTAAATTAAATTTAGTTATTAAATGTATAAATTAAGTTGGGATCGAATTTTTGGATCAAGAGGTGAAAAATAAAAAAAAATCGAATTGAACCAAATTAAATATTTTTCTTAGTTTTATATATATTTTAAATTTTTATAAAATAAAAAAATAATTTTATATCAAAATCTACTTAAATATATTAAAATTGTATATTAAAATAATATATAAAAATTAAAAAAATTAAAAATTAAAAACCAGTAAATCAAATCGAACCAATCTGATAAAATTCAATTTGATCCAGTTTGAATTCGAATCGAATTTTAAATTTTTATAATATTATGTAATATCCGAAAAAATCGAACCAAATTTAATCTGAATCAAACCGTTATCATTTCTAATTCTTCCCTCTTTTTAGCTACATATGTTGTTTCTCTAAAAATCCCAAAAAAGATAACAATCACCTTAAATCCAAAATTAGTGATCGACCACCATGCTAACCATTTCTGTCAACGTCAACTGCCACTTATCGATAGCAAAATTGTTTCAAATTTTATACTGAAGCACCTCTCAACCCCTTTTACAATCTTATCGGCTTCAAGTTTGCAAAAAAGAACTTTCTTTTTCTTTTATGAAAAATCTAAGAAAATTGAAATCTAAAAGCCTAGATTTGTTGTCGTTACCGCCTATAATAATCATTAAATTTCCACTAAGCTTTCCTTTACTATTTCTTTAGTCTCTTCCACCATTGTGATTTTCCAAATTTCTTCTAGAAATCCCCAAACCCAAGACACTATGAGAGGAAAAACCCTAAAGCACTTTCTCTATCAATGTCTTTTTGTTGTTTCCTTTCTATAAGGATGATTTTGTTATTTTAATTTCTTTGCCATATGCATTTTGTTAGGGTGTTTTGGTTCTAAGTTTTTGGGTAAAAATGATTTTCTTAATTGAATGATTATTGTTATTTGTTGGTGGTTTTAAGGTTTTTAAAGTTGATTAGTTTTAGGGTTTGTTTATTTACTAAGTGCTCATTTGAATTCCACCGCACCTCTGGTACGATATGATTGAACTCATTGCATTATCAGTTGAATCCAAATGCTAACTTCAGTGAGATTCATTCAGCATAAATTTTTCATTGAATTTTTTTTTAATCGCAGCTACAGTAATTATTTTTTTCAATCACAGCTACAATAATTTTTATTACTATTTTCTATTTTACTGCAATCAATCTCATTATTCATCCAAATGGAGCCTAATTTATAATTGATTTGATGTTTTGTAAAATATTTTTTGCTATTTAAAATTTTCTTTTTCTTTAATCCTTTTGCTTTTCTGCCATTGTTAGCAATGGCACGACCGTGGTTAGTGTGCCAACCCTAGAACCAAAAGCATCATTTATTTTAGTGGCAGCCTAAACTCCATACAAAAAGCCTAATCTAAAAGAACCCAACCCAAGACCCTATCTTCAAAGTTGATCGAACTCATTCCACATTAAACCTGACTCAATCTACTTGATACCTAAAAAAAAAAATGAGGTCTAATTAATTGATAAATTCCACACCTCCTAAAATTAGAATTTTGCCCTTATTTCATTTTCGGATTTCTTGTCTTCATTTTATTATTTTAATTTATGTTTATAATAAATTTAATGGATGAAGCAATATAATATTTTTCTAATTAGCTTCCTTGAATAATCAAGAGAATTACAAAATGGAAGCAAAGTTATGTTATAAAAAAAAGGGGAACATTTAAAATAGAAAAGATTCAAACCTTTCGAAAGGTATACAACAAAAATAGGATAACTAATGTTAATTGTGATACATATCAAGAAAATGGGAAAAAAAAACAGATAATAAAATATGCAACAATACTTTCATTGTAAAACTTTTGAAAAAAAATTATTACAAATGCAAAATCCCAATTCACCACTATAAAAAGCTTTTTCTTCACTTTGAAAAGGAACAATGAATCTGTAAGATGCAAAACAAGGTCAATATAAATGCATAAAACAATAATTTTACTATTAAATTGCAAATTCAAATTTAAAGAAAAGTAATGACTAATGTTAAAATTGAGAAAAAGTGTTAATGTTAAATTGCTCATAAGATGGAAGAAAACAAACTATGAAAAATTCAAGTATGTTTTGGTTTTATAATTGTCATATCAAAAGGTTGACTCTGGTATTCCTTTCCAAGCAAAAATAATACTATCATTAAGGCTGCAAGTTTACTTCCATAAAATGAAAGTAATAAAATATAAAATAGATTTGAGTTGGAAAATTGCTTATGGGATGGAAGAAATTATATCAAATGCTGTAAGCAAAACATTAGATGGTGGAAATTTCACATATGTTTTGGTTTGATAATTGCTATCTTAAAAGGTTTAACTATTGTTTATGACTGGGCCTTCCTTTTCAAACAAAAAAGTTGGTATCATTAATGCTACTAGTTAACCTCTATTCAATTTCAATGAAAGCAATCCAAGAAACATAAAGTACAAAATAAATTTAAAAAAATGACAAAAAATTGTCTTGCATATATTTTCTGAATCATTCACTTACTAATTAAAGTAACTAATTATAGATTTAGAAAGACATTACAAAATTAGTGCCTTTCAATTAATTGTGAAACACAATTTATCTTTTGAACACAACTTATAGAAATAAAAGCAGAATATAAGTGGCACTTTAATCAATATAAAAGCATATGAAAATGCAATATTAAAGCATAAGGAAAATCTAAAATTAAGATTGCTTCAACTAGACTTAGATAGCTTGAAAAAGCAATAACATCTTGATAAAAAGAATCCATGAATAGGTTCAACAGTTGTTCTCTTAAACTCTCTAATTGGGATATTGCCTACATAAAATATGTAAATAAAATAATAATCATTAAAAGCAAACCAATAAGACAGAAATATAGCATAGCATAAATGTTATTAAAGAAAAATTAAATTAATCAACATTAATGTCTAACAACTAAAATATATTACCTTTCAAATGGATCTATCCATCGATAATGAACAAGTCCACTAATTTTTGCCTCGTTAGTCAAATGAATCAGCAAATGCTCTATAGAATCAAAGAAACCTAAAGAAAAAATCTTTCCAATTTGTACATTGTTTCTACAATGTTATGTATACAACACTTCCATATGATCTACATGTATTTTAATAGAATACAGATCTCTGAAAAAATGAGATAGCTTAATAATTGCATCCTAAATTGAGTTAGGCATCAAATCATGAAAAGCAATTGGAAGTAATTGTTGCATGAAAGGAGCTCCTAAGGAAGTGTCCACACCACTAACTACTGAAATGGCAAGAGATTTAAATCCTGTACAACGGGTTGATATCGAATAATAAGACCATCATAGATTCTGTAGTAGGAGGGCTCTTGATGAGTAAGACCTCCAATAGTACTTATGATTTAATAGAGGAAATGGTCACCAAAAATTGTCAGTGGTCAAATGATAGATAGCATCCTAAGAAAGCTTCGAGG